AATCTTTAAGTTGTTTCCCAATCTCACACTCGCCTTCCCTTGTAGTCCAATTAGCAAAACTAGTGTATTTCTCCTCTTTAAAAAGGTCCAGTAGAACGAAATCCTCAATTACATACTGTACAGTGTCATGGTCATCAATATTCATTATGAAAAAAATTTACAAGGAAATCAAAGGACCAACTTTAACTAAAGCATCTTCATATACTTCTTTAGGGTGTCTAAAGGTTTTATCTACTAGTTATATGGTCATACGAGTAGGAACAAGGGGTTATTTGGTCTTAAGCTTCTTATAAACACATGCAGGTATGACATTGATACCAGCTCCTAAGTCGACGAGACAATTGTCAAAGTTCATTCTATCAATGGTACAAGGCAAAGTAAAGCTCCTTGGATCCCTCAATTTCTTTGGCAAGGTGTGTTGAGTTACTATGATAGAACAATGTTTGTCGAGAATAACAAATTTAGAATGAATCCATTTTCTCTCAAATGCCAAGAATTCTTTCATATAATTGGAGTATTATGGGATTCTACCGAGTACGTCTACTAAGGGCATGTCTACATGTAGATTGCTCAACATCTCCCTGAATTTCCGGAGGAAAATATCATCATTCTTCTTGTTTGTCTTGAGCCTCTCAGGATATGGTGCTTCTACCATCTTTGAGTTGTCTGCTTCCCTTGTAGAGTGCCAGATGGAGGCTCCTTGCTCCCTTTCTTGATTTGGTGGCCGAGTTGGATGTTTTCCTTCTGGCCTTGATGGTTCTTCAATTATGATGTCTTCATGCGGAGGTAGGGGTGTTGACTTTCTCGTTTTCTCCTTGGAGGTTCTCGTGGTGTTGTAAGGTAAATAGGTGGCTAGGTCTCCTTCCCACTACCTTCGACTAATCATGTTCTTTGTGTTCCATGATCTTCCTTAGCTTCTCATTCATATTGAATAGGCGCTCCTCATAAGATTCTTATAAAGCTTTCAACTCTTGCTGTGAGGTCTTGATGCTTGAAATATCATCTCGAATATCTTGCATTCTTTTAATCTTTCGCTCTAGGATTTCTTAATGGAGGGCAATGCTTTTGTTGCAAGAGGGGTCAGATCCAACTCTAGATTGGTTGACTTCTCTATGAATGATAAGATTTTGAACATCAGAAGCAGTTCTGAGAGTTCTCATGTCAATTACTTGGAGTGCTTGTTGAACTTTGCTCATGTTCGCCTTGATTTTTTTAGTTCATTTAGTTCCCCACAAAAGAAGGTAAACCAGTGCTGACTTACGCTTCTCTTAAACCTCAATTAAATGTCCAGCAGTAAGGAGAATTTTGATTTCCATTAAGAAAATAGAGCAAAAATTAATGGTTGGACTAGGTGAACAAGTACGCCGACAGGTAGAGGAAGCAGTGGTACGACAAAAGGATATTTTACGAAAGCGGCGAGTAGCTGGAAGTGGACGTGTTCAAGAAACTAGAGAAGCGGAAATTTTTTAGCAATATCGAGAAGGTCGGCCTGCTCTCCAAGACAAAAGAGATGGGAGTCACACTATCGTCGATCGAGAAGCTAGGCTTGTTCTCCAAAGCAGAGGAATTGAGGCTGCTCAGCTGTTAGAGAAGGTGACCACTTGATAGGGCAAAAGCGTATAGCTTCAATTCCTATCTCGTAGTAAACCGGAAAGTCCGGGTATTGTCTCTCAGGGACTGGTACAACCTTATATTCTATCAATTTTATAAAGCAAACTATAGGTGAAAATAGTTTAATGAGACTAATTTCTAAAAGCAAAATAAAATAAACAAAGTAACTAAATGAAAACTGCCGGGAGAAATTCAATGGGAGAAGCTCTGGGAGAAACACCGGGACTAACTACCTATTCTATCCAGATTAATTCACATATTCCAATCAATTTAGGGGTAGATTGCTTGTTGGATTTGAAAAGTGAGGGTTTTGGCTCAAAAAAACCTTTGGATTTATGATGGATTTGTACCATCATGGATTTGAAGAGTCTATTGTTTGCATGATAGATTTGATGATATAATTATGATGGATTTGCTATAAATATAACAAGCCATCAAGGATTTACAAATCCCACTCCAATATGTGGGATTTACAAGTCCGTGGGGTCCACGGATTTGGATCCAAAAAAGGGAACAAATCCGTGGACCCCACGGATTTAACACATGACAACAAACAATGGACTTGGCTAAAATCCATCATGCTTGGGATTTGAGTCCTAAATCCATGACCCAAATCCATCAAGCAAACGACCCCTAAGACCGATATCCCAACTCTCTACAGCCAGGATATCACTATTGTGCTAGCTATCCCTGTCGGGAATTACTACGTACTAAATAATCAATTCAAATCCTACTGTCGTAGCTCAATGAATTAATTATTTAGCCTTAAGACCGATATCCCAATCAAGACCGCATAGCACCTTATTTAATCCACTGTCGCTTCGATAAGTTACTATGTCACATGAAATAGGTTCAGTTATTAGGGTTTTACTGTCGCTAATAACCTAATTAACTACGATTCATTGTATTGGTGGCCAGTCAACACAAAGTATTAAGTAATTTCATGCAATAGAGAATGGAAGAAAAGAAATACGAATCAATCCATCAAATATAGAAATAGCTACATCCTATGGTGTTTCCCCCAGAAATTGGGGATTAGTTCATGACGAAATCGAAAGATATAATCATGTTCTTAATCATCATGTCACGAATCAAAGCGAAGGAAAAAATACTGAAATTTTCTTCCCCTGCTCGCGATCGCCGCCCAGCGCAGCTGCTCTCCGCTCGTCCCAACTTGCGCTGCGCCCTCCTAATTTTCTCCCGAAAGAAATTCGTTCCAAGAGAATTCGTCCCAAGCCTGGCCGCTGCAATTCCCTGTCCAAAGAATTCTGTCCCCCAAAAAAATAATCCTCCACCCCGCTGCGCCTGCAAGCTTCCGTCCCAAGAATGCCTTGTCCAATTAATTTCCACTAGCCCAAAACCATTTCTCCAGAGTTCCGTCCCCAGCAAAAGAGAAGAGTAGAATGGGCTTCGGCCCAAATCAATTTCTCCATTCAGCTGCACTCCATTCCCAGGCCTACTTCTTCCTTCCTTTCCATGTTCTCTTCACCTGTAATGCATTAAACTCATGACACTAGGCAGTAATGGTTTTTCAACCATTCTCGGATTAGCGAGCCCTAAAATAGCACCAATTAGCTAAAACATACCATGGGATAATCACATAAAGTCCAAGAATCCGATATATTAAAGCCGAATATCACCATGGTTTAACCAGCGACACTTGTGTCCACAGCGCTTCCGCCGGCGGTAGCAGCATAGTGATAATACTGGATGATTCGGCGGGGATAGTGATTGTTTAGCTGTGGTCGCCGGAGCACTAGGAATCGGCTCTGCTGGGCTGTTTGTTAGCTTAGTTTGCTCGAAGGATTGCTGGAAACTGATTGAAATGTGGAAATATTATGTATTTTTTGGGGTTTTAATGTTTGTTGGTATAAACTTTCTAGGTTTGTTTTATATTAAATAATTTTGGATTTTGAATTGAGAGATTGGTAGAAAATATAATCACAATGATCGGACTACTGTTCTATGAGAAATCATCGCCAAGGTCAAAATAGAAACAATCAGGAAAAAAGTGGAGATGCGGGGTATCGATCCCCGTACCTCTCGCATGCTAAGCGAGCGCTCTACCATATGAGCTACATCCCCATTTGCCTTTATGACTTCTCATGCAGGGTGAAATCCATGGTACCGCATACCTTGAATATGAAAACTCTATCCATACCTTGAATTGACTAATCTTTCAAACATGATACTATACTCTAATCCTTAAATATCAAAATCTAGGTAAAAAAAATGAATGCATCATCTTAGGGTTGTGATTCTTCCAAATATAGGTAAAAAAAATGAATGCATCATCTTAGGGTTTATAGTTTATGATTTAGATAATTAGGACCTAGCGTTCACTCATTAAGGGTTAGGGTATAATATTAGGCCTAAAAATCCTGCTAATTTGAGGTCTAGATAGCATTGTCATACTCAAGGTATGCGAACCCTGAATTTCATTGGGGGTACTTAGAATTCACCATATATGTGTGTGTTTTGTTCACTTCTACACCACCAAGATGAACGTGGTGGTAGCAGATAGGGGTGGCAGTCGGTGCGCCAGTGGTTAATCGTACCACATTTTGCGGTTAACCACAACCACAAATCTCTAAATACCCTAACCACAAATCGCACTCATAAGTATATCAATATTTTTCTTATAAGTTTGTTATCAATAAAAAAATATAAATGATGATATAAACGGTAAAAATTAAGAATAATATATCACCTATGGAAGATATATCAAATAAAATATATACAAAAATTAGAGCAATAAAATATGTGGAGAAAATCATGAACAAAATAAAAAAATTGATAAAACTATTAAATAACAATACAATATTAATTATAATTCGACATCATTCTTATTCAATAAGATGCCAATAATTTAGTAATTAGTAGACGTTAGAATCTTCTATAACTAATTCAACAACGTAACAAATAACTTGTTAAAGTGCTAGCTACTAAACTTTAGACAAGTATTCTGAATTTGATAACCATACTTATTAATATTAGTTTTTTTTTTGACAACATACTTATTAATATTAGTTATTGCATACTAATACGTATAAAAATAAAACTTCAATAGATTAGTGTGGGTTGTGCGGTTATTATGATTTGATCACATTAGTTAGTAGTTAACTACTAATCACTAAATTCACAATTTTACTAATGATAATAAAATCACTAACCCAAAATACGTTAGCTAGCCAGGCCCTGTCTTTATTCTCGACTACATGTCGATCTTTTAATTTCCAGTCCTGGCTGGTTTCCAGGGTGTAATATCTTTTGATTTCAATCTATTGATTATCTTTTGTAAAAAAAAAAAAAAAAAAACTAACCCAAAATACGGATAAAGATTAATCAAACTACGTGTGTGGTATGATGCGGTTTGCTATTACCACAAACCACAAACCAAACTTCCACCCTAGTAGCAGAGTTGCTTCCTCCTCTCTTTCGCTTGATTCTTGAGAAGAAATGAAAAGACGAGATAAAATGCTTCTTACCTTCGAAGACTTCCGGTAAAATTAAGCTATTGGCAGTGGCAGCGGCAGCCGCAGTCTGTGTATAGAAGGAAGATTTACCAGGGACTTGGCGCAAAGTTCCATTTAAGAAGCTTCTCCTATCTTAAGAGCCTGGTACAGCTTCCATTGAATTCAGTCTGTTTTTGGGTTTTGGCAAGGCTCGGTGTTAGGGTTTCCGATTATTCATTTCCTATTCATTTCGTGGGGTGATAGTGCCGTCATTTGATACCTAGATTGCGTGCAGTAGTTTGTATTTCCCTTCTTGCAGTCGTGACATAGATGATGCCTATTGGTTTTTGCAATCGGAACTGGTTACTCATAAAACAATCCACAACCAGTGTAGCACTGAAATGACAAGGTTTATTGTATTAGAATCTCAACACATATCAGTACAGGGTGGAAACATAATGCTTTCTAGTAACTGCTCGCGATAAAGAATAATGCCAAGCTAGCTAGTATACATATCTTGGATAGTGTTAGTAATGACGGTGAAGTTGATTCAGAAAATAAAGATGCTGAGTCTTGGTGAGTAGGTTTATCTGCTCACTCCGCTGATTCAGCCTCAGTTGATCTGTACTGGTAGCGGCATGCCCAAAACAGATAGTGCAAGAAGTTGATTCCACTCAGCACACACATCAACCAGTAAAACCTCTCTAGGCGATACTCATTCAAGTTGCTACCTTGAAGCCAAGGCGTGTGTCCATAGGCATCCGTGATGCTATTCACTAATGAAACGATCACAGAACTTAGATAGTATCCCATTGCCAGTGAGGCCCAAGACAATGATGTGGCCAATGACCTCATGCTCAATGGTGCTTCCGAGAAGAAGAAGTCCATCATTCCGGCCAAGGTGAAGAGATCTGCTGATCCAAGGAACACATACTGCAATGCTATCCAAAGGAATGTCATGGGCAGAGGTTCAGCAGAAGCATTTAGGAATCTTAATTGTGTTGCAGTTCTCTTTCGCTTGCTCTCCACAATGGCTGCCACCATCATTGCTACAACTGAAAGAACCAGTCCTGTCCCTATTCTTTGCAAATGGGTGATCCCCATTTCGGATTTTTTAACTTTCCTTGCAAACGGAATGATGATGTGGTTGTAGACCGGTGCCAGGATCATGATGAAGATGACAGGAAATATGGGAAGCGAAGCTGGTGGGACTTTGAAGGAACCTAGTTTGGTGTTCATTGTTGCTGCTTGTTGCACAGAGAACGTAGATAGCTGGGCAAGGCAGCAATTGAGCATTATGGTAGACATGAAGATCGGGAGTATCCTCACCACAATCTTTACCTCTTCTACCTCATTGGTTTTACATTGGAGCATTCTGTAGGCTGCATTCTTGTTCCCCGTTGCTCTGTTGAGGAAGTTGAGGCTCTCTGTTGCAGTTGTTTTGTTTGGAGTCTTGCTTTGGTCGGTTCTATCTTCTCCTTCACTGGTAGTAGTAGTGGTAGAACAGGAGCTTGTCTCCATTCCCATGATAGCATTACTAGGACTCCTAGATTTGCAGGCATTGTAAATTGCTGCTGCGAGAACCTACAGGAAAGGATAATTTAGTGACCAATGGAGCTTTATGCATTACTTTTTACTATTATGATGATGGCTGGTAGAATAATAAATGGTACCTTGAAAAGGGTTGTGATGGGACTGCCTGTAGGAATTTTGGTCCTATAAGTTGGGGAGCCAAGGATGAAGACTGGTATCGATAGGAATATTGCAGTGGTAGCAGTTCCCAAACCCCATTGCCAACCTTTGTTGTCTTCAATCCAAACGACAAATGTAACCGCAATCAAAGCTCCAAAAGAGAGGCAGAACACATAGTAATTGAAGAATGCTGATCTCTGCTTTCTTCCTAACTGTGTGGTCTCATCGAATTGCTCTGCACCATGTGGCGGAAGCGAACCTTTGATCCCTCCAACACCTAGTGCCACCATATAGAGGCCTGTGAAGAGCATTGCTGCTTTCTCACCGTTTGCTTCTTCACATGGGATGCTAGTGTTGGTGACACATGATGGTGGTTTCAATGAGGTGATACCAGCTTGGACTGTAAGCACTGACAATCCCTGGTTCATAGGCCAGAAATTGAATAGATTAGTTGCAGTCTATGAACCTTTGATATCTGATATTCCGGTTAAAACCAGATACCTGGTATGTTGGTCAATGTAACTGTGATTTCAAGCAGTAGCTCACCATAAGGCATTTAGTTTGTAAGTGGACCATACAAAATCAGAGCTGTGGGACAGCTACCTTAGTTCTGGATTGAATATTTCTGGTACATTTCATATCTTTCTAATTTTTTCCTGGATTTTCAATGCCCTGGCTGGTAGGGACCTTTTTTAATACAAATGAATTGTTGTAATGGGTGCATATTTTCTATGAGTTCAGGTCCTCTCATGGGCCATGCTACTTCTTTGACATTTCAGATATGCCAGAGGTGAGATTTATTGTACTCTGGTCCATATCTTAGTAAGTACTTTTGCAATTTTCTAGAAAAGCCATTCCCTCTGTCTTTTATTAGCTACTTAAGATTGATGTCTGTAGCAATTTGGCTGTTTGTTGCTAGTTTCAGTAGCTTAAGTTAATTCATATCCTAGTATTTGAAATAAAATGATATCCAACTCCTAGCATGCAAATGTTTAAAAAGAAAAAGGAGCTGCTTTTCATAGTGTAATCAATCATTCACCAGAGAAGAGGCATCAATCAAGAGCACTGTAGCATAATAAGTCAGTAACTTACCATGAATTCGATTACTGCGCTTATTAAATAGATGCAGTAGGTGCTGAAATAGGCATCTGCTAGAAAACCGCCAACCAGAGCTAGGAGGAAGGATGTGCCCATGAAATTAGTTACAATATTCGCTGAGCCAGATGGAGAGAAATGCAGGAACTTTGATAGGTAGAGTACAAGGTTGCTTGCATTAGCCAGAAATGCTAGATTTTCTAGTACCTCCACAACTGTTGTCGTTTCATGATTAGAAAAATGAACTGGTTCAGCAGATGTGAGAGGTATAGCACCTATATTTGCATATCAAGTTAAGTTCTTGGTAACATGAAGAAGCGCTTACAGTTGTACTTACCCAAGACAAACGTTGCTGCTATCATTCCACCATGACGGCCTCTCATAGCAGGCTTGTTCCTCCAGTCTACATAGCCTTGCCACATATTCAAATTTTGTGCTTCGTCCTGCAATCATGTTTCAGCAAATATCACATATTAATAAAGTTTTGAAGTAAAGACCAGGAGAGACATTGGAACAAGAGCTCGAAAGCAGCTTTACCATCTCTGTCTCCACAGACTACTCTTAATGTACTCGGTGTCTAATCCTGGATCTCTAGCTTTCTGATTGAATTTTTTTTTTTTTTTAGTTGGTGAGGAATCATTTGGTTCATATATATAGGGGCAGGCATGGTGGTCCTTCCAACCCATGGAGAAAGGTCTAGATGAACATGAAAGTGACAATATATTTTCTGATATGGTGTATGCTAACTTTTTCTACAGTGACAAAGGAGGATGGCGTGGTGTTTTTTGGATCGCTTAGCTACTGCCAGACCGCAATGAAGAAGTGAACAATAAAGTGCAGAGGCACAATATTCAGAAAGAAGGTACACATAAACCAACCCTTTTATTGATATCCACTTAAATAGCTGTTACATATTAAAATTTGGTGAACAAAGTGGCTTAATGCAATGAGTTGGCGATCTTTAGCCTTAATGGGGGAGCAATGATATAGAATACCACTAAGATCAGTGGCTCTGGAGTTATCTATGCTGATTCAGAGAACTATTTTCTATATACCGTTCAATGACGTTAACCTTGAATAAGCATATCTCTGATGATTAATCTTAATAACTATATGGATTCACCCTTGTCGAACAAATGATTGTGGTTATATGTAAATGATATACTATGCTGGTTTTTTGTTGTCGTAGAAGCCAAAGTTAGATGTTGGGGCTGTTTGTGTGGAATTAAGCGATCTACTTTTATAGTTTGAATTTGGTATGAATTTGTTTTAAATTGTAAGGGTGATTCTTTAACCTGAAATGAGATGATTCCTTGTTTACGTACAATGCCGCTAAGTTTTTTTTTTTTGGTTAATGTAGGACTGTCTCAACTAGTTTTTAATTTTATACATAGCTTTTTTTTTTGTGCCCTGGATCAAACACCTTATTTAAAGTTCTACTCCAAACCAAATGCTGGATTAGCTATTCAAATGGGTCCCAAAATGACAGTCACACCACATTCACACGACAAGTCGACAACATGGTGGTAACACCACTGCGTAGTTAATGCTAATTAGTAATTACAAAACAGTAGTGGCTTCGCCAGTTATTTGTTCTGTTATTTCCATTATGTATATGCGTGTTTTAGTTAAATGCAATTGTCATTTATCAAGGATGAACTACCCAAATTGGGGAGATTTGGATGGAGAGAAGCATTTCTATTTCCAGTACTTTGCATAAGAACAGGGCAAATTACGCCTTTCAACGTTGAGGTGCTTTCACCCAACTTGGACTGGCGCTTATTCCTACCACTGGGTACTAGAATGATCAGTCATTGTCTCTATGTTTCTTCTTCTTTTGTAAACTTAATTACTGGAGTAGTGGCCAGGCCCTCATTCATCATTTCAGGGTCTTTTTTTCTGGGCCACCTGTAATATTTTGTTCCCCACATCACGTGAATGTGTGGATCATATTCTTCTAGAAACCCATGGATGCACTGCATGATCAGAGAGGTCTCCAACTTGGGTGGCTAGGAGAGAATGACAGGATGGGTCCCTTCCGTGCTAGGAGGATTAGCTCTACTCTCTTCCACCAAATACTTAGTTCCCCGCTTCACCCATTTTTCTAGTTTGAAGAACCGGATGAAGATAGATCATGTGTAGCTGAATACTATTTTGCTTTCCTATAACCTGGCAGTGAAAAAGGTTGAAGTTATTAACAAAGTGGTTGGCCACTTCGTATTATCGTGGAGTATGTCAAGAGCAGTAGTTATGAAAGATTTTATAGGTATGAGGAGGATAAAACTTGGTTTCTATTCCGCAGACTGCTACTGGACTATAAAGCCACCAATTTAACTAGCCCGAACTGTTTAATTTGCTTCATATAGTAAAGTTGTGGAGATGCTAATCGAAACTGTGGAATTCACAGATTTTTGCTTCTTCTTGTCCTGTAATGTTACTGGGTGAATGATGATGGAGTCTTTTGTATGCTAAGATTCTAGTCTATCTAAGCGTCGTCGTCATAGAGCTCCGAAAGGGTTGCTTAATGAAGACCCATAGGATATACTTGTTAGTATCAATAAGCACAGCTTTAAACTCTAGGGTAGATCAATGCTCTTTTAGTATTCATTAGAACAAAGTGGGAAAAAAAGAGAGGAAGAATTAGGACGTCTAGTAGTCGGAAGGGTCTGATACAACTTTACAACTCTTCAAATAGATACACAGTGTCATTCACTTGCTCGGATGCTTACAATCTACAAAATTTTCTTTTGCTTTTGTCTGATTCCTCAACGAAAGGACTAATTTTACCTCTTTCACTTTGGAATACCCAGGATGTTTTAGGGTTATTGATAGCCTTGTGTGTTATCTCTGCTTGTTTGGTCCTCCTTTTCATTCTCTAACTTCACAAGAGTGAGATCAGGCTGTCAATATCGGTATTAGGTCTGCTCTCTACCGTGCTTTTGTATTTATACAGTGACAGAGAATGGCATTGCTTCGCAACAAACCTAAGAAGTACTAGCACCCGGAAGCGACATTGTATTTTGCCCTCACAGATGTGACTGGCAGCAACTTGTTATTCATCTTTACTTGCACAGGCTGGTGAATGGCCTTTTTTGACCTTATGCTGCCACTGTGACATGAGCTTCGTAGATGTAGCAGTCATTCGTGAGCCTTGTGCCACGGCATGAAGTTAGACAGGTATAAGACTTGAGAGATTTTGGTTCATTAACTATTTGGGGTGCATTCTCTTACTGGAAAAACCTTCCAGTGAAGATTCTGTACTTGGTATCCATTTTAATCTGATGGCACTGGCTCCGTTTTTTAGGTGGTGTGCTCGCTTTGTGCCACAGAGCAGGAGGTATGCCAACTTGGTTAACTCGTTATCTTCCCATCGGCAGTATTCTTATTTCATTGTTAACTGTTGTTGACTTGACAATAAACCTAGAGGATATAGTGTTCATGAATGAGGGATAAATAATGGGAAGTTTAAAATACTGCCTGCTAATCAACATTTCGTGTATACATTGGCACAAAGCTTTAGATCTTGGGTGTGAGAGATGAAGGAGACATATTGTGTTGGTGTGTATATTTTGGTACATTGTGCTGTTGTTTTGTCAATCCTTTGATAGAAGCCCATACGAAAAGGAATTTATGCGTGTCTGGTTGTGGAGAGTGACCACTAGGGGCGGTGGATGTGAGCCAACGATCAAGTGCTGCAATTTGTGGCCTCCCATGTGAAACTCTAACAGGTCAATGAAGGGTGATGGTATTGTTCCGTGGAAAGATCCCAATCCCAGAGCATCTCATTCACCAAGTTTGGGGCTTCCAAGTAGCGAGGAGCTTCATGGGTCATGGTTAGTTTAGGATTCGACTATGGCCATTGAATGTGAAGATGCAAAGGGGGAATCGAAAAAGGGGGTAGAAACTAGAAAGTAACAAAGGGAGGATTATGAGAAGTGAGAGTGGTCGATGTGTCGCTGGCTGTCCAACATCAAGAGAGTAGATAGGGTCATCTGCATGCCCCTTACAATGAGTCCAAAAGCCTAAACGTTAACATTGTACAGCGAAAATGGACCACCACGACCCGACCTCCACCACTACTCTACGGGATCGGTTACCATGCTAATCCTTCTAAGTGGTTGGAAAAATGACACCTCTATTAATTATAGTTATTTTTTGTATTCAATTCGTGTTGCATTTAATAATCTTTGGAAATTAAAAACTCATCTTAATTACCTTCTTTTTTTTAACTACCATTGCACCTGTATACTGAACTCATATCAATTACGTTCCTTTTTTGGAACTACCATTGCACTGATACATCAACCATTGCAACTGTACACTAATACCATTGCACTGATACAACTACCAGTGCACTGGTAGTTGCAAGGAAAATAATGAATATGTTTTTTTTAATTCATACAAATTATTAAATGCAACATAAATTAATTACCTTAAAAACCTATAATTAATAGGGGTGTCATTTTTCCAACCATTTTAGGGGTAAAAATGCTATCTCATCCCCTACTCTACCAAGACCATGGTTGTTAAACCTCTATTGGACCCCGATTGAACCTGGTCCGATCTAAGTCGGGTTTCAAATCGGCCTCCAGAAAGCCCCTCGGTTTGACCCCTAACAAGGGAGAAGAAGAGGGGAAAGAAAGGAAGAGGAACAATGGAAGAGATATGGTGTGTGGATCATGAAGGTTAGATAGATTTACTTTGTGACAAATAAGTTTTTAATAGATACATGTAAGATAAATTTCATTTCAGTTATTAAATCTTTAATTAATACCTTATTTGTATATATATTTAGAAAACGGCTCAAACCGGTCGGACTCCGATAAGACCATTAAACCTCAAACCCCTTACTTGACCGGCTCAATGACTTAAAACGGTTTGACAACTTTGACCAAGACGAAAGATCTGTGTGTGTGTGT